AGTGATTACTAGTTGTGACGTAATCAATTTCAGTATGGGTAGTGAAAATGCTCGGAATCACTTGAATCTTTGTGTTCAGATTATCGATATTGTTCTGTATATCTTCCATAGCATTGTGGATGGTAGGATCATGTTCAGGTTTAAGTGGTTCTAAGCGTACTGTCCTTGACGTTGTTTCTGCATTGTCTCAGTCGGGTTTTGTTCGTTGCAACTGCAACTGATGTGTCATTGTTGGATATGTTGAACTATGTTATTGTAAGGCTATGTTTTGCTTGAGGACTTGTTTTTATTATTGACATTGTTTCTGCGTTGTCTTGAGTCGGGTTTGGTTTGTTGCAACTGTAATTGATATGTAACTGTCGTATATTTGCAATTATGTTATTGTAAAGGTTATGTTCAGGTTGGGTACTTGTTTTATCCAGGAATTAATATTACTCATTATAGTCCAGGATATAATAATATAAGGGAACATAGTGAGTTAACTTTTTAAAAACTTTATTTGATTCAAGTTATTATTAACACCTCTAATACATGTGTCATATTTGGTGACTTGTTATTAAAAGGTGGTATAGGATCATAACATAACAACAAATGTCCATAATATTCTTACGCAAATTCATAACAACAAATGTCCGTGGTATCCTTCTGCAAATCTTGTTAGTGGTTGAAGTTTATACCATACATGAAGAGGAGTCGAAGAAGTAAACATCATATTATTTATAATCCTAAATAATTTTGTGGAGTGATATAGCTAGGCATGTGCCCATAGAACTAAATATTATATGACAAGGAAGATAAAAGATGTTCACGAGCTATAATGCATATAAGCTAAAAATGCTGCCATGTTGGAATTTGACAAATGTAACTGGGCTAAATTGCTGCTACTTTGTAATTCAAAACATAAAATTACATTTTCAAAAATATTGGTAAATTTTTTTTTTTGAGAGAAAGGATGGATTACTGTTAATCATAACAGTAATCCAGCCAGCTAAATTAAACAAAACTTGGTTGTTACATGAATATACACATTCCCAACCAAAAAGAATGTGCACTTGAGTTCAAACAAAAATTACAAACCAAAAGAAAGACTCTTGTTCCCCCACAGATAAAACCAAAAACATACTCCTGCTCCACCACAGCAGTATAATCCCTTCCCAACAAAAGAAAGAAAGCTGTCAGCTACTACTACTACCAAATAGTAGACTATTTTAACTAAGTACAGAGTTTTAACGATCAGAAAACAGAACAAGATTATAGATCTGAAAATAGTAGACTATTTTAACTAAGTACAGAGTTTTAACGATCAGAAAACAGAACAAGATTATAGATCTGACGAAAGAAATCATTCCAGTTGAATCACTGTGTTCGCAAGCCTTCTAGCTGTAGACTGTCCATCAGCAGCTCTCTTCTTTCTCCTCTCCTGAAGTCTGGCAGTTCGAGCTGATAAAGGCTTAGAACCTAACCACAATGATGAAAAGATCAGAACTTTGTTCAAAACCTCCAGAGCTCTCTTCTTCTTATTTGAAAAAATTCTGTCATTTCGTTCCTACCATATACACCAAATAAGAGAACATAAAATGACATCTCTTTCCACATTCCACTTTGCTCCCTTATCCATATTCCAATTGATCCAAATATCTTTTAAGGAATTCAACTTAAAATCCTTATCAATATTCAATTTATATTGAATAGATCTCCATGTAGAGTATACAAACTCACATTCTACAAATAAATGGAAGTGATTTTCCTCCTCTTTGGAACATAAACAACACATTAAATCCAAATGAATACCCTTCTTTTCTAGCTTATCTTTTGTGTTTAGCCCTTGTCTTAAAGCCAACCAAACAAGAAATTTCACTTTTAAAGGAACAGGAAGCTTCCAAAGATTTACACAATCAAATCTTAAACCCCCATCAATAAGAAAATGATAATAGGATTTAACTGTAAAATTGTCTTTAGTATCCCAAATCCATTTTCTCCTGTCCTCCCTTTGTTCAAAAGTAAAGTCTCTGATATCATCCATCAACTTGAAATATTGGAAAACATAATTTCCAGTCAATTGTCTACTGAACTGTATATTCCAAATCCATTCATTACTAACCTTCTTTCTCACACTACTAATAGATGCAAAAGGAAACGAAGTGATATTAAAAAGAGAGGGATAAACCGAAGCAAGGGTAAAAGATCCTACCCATTTATCAAGCCAAAATAAGGTTCGATCTCCTTTTCCCACATCCACATGAGTACTGCATAAAAAGCTACCAATATTATCAAAACAATTCCTCCAAAACTGTGTTAAAATGTTTCTACCAGAATAAAAAAATTCTGTCCAATTTTTCCTCTCAAAGTATTTGTAAAAACTAATTTGCTTCCATAGTTCCAATTTACTATCAAACCATTTCCAACATCATTTCCCCAACAAAGCTTTATTCATGATTTTTAAATTTACAATCCCCAAACCCCCATATTGCTTAGGTCTACAGACCTCCTCCCATTTAACCAAATTAGAGGAGCCTTTATGATCAAGAGAACCAGTCCACAAAAATCTTCTCCTCATTTTATCAATTTTTTCTATGAGCCACATAGGAAATAAAAAGAAGGATAACCAAAAAATTGGCATTGAAGAGAGAACAGAATTCACCAAAACTAATCTCCCCCCTCTTGATAAAGTTTTTCCTTTCCATAATGCTAACCTTCTTTCAATTTTCTCAATCAAAGGAGACCAATCTGCTTTTTTTAACTTTCCAGGTCTCAAAGGAACTCCAAGATAAGTAATGGGAAAATTCCCACTTTTACAGTTCAACATAACAGCTAAATTCTGTTGCAAAGAATCATTGTCCTCAAGGGCAATGAGTATACTCTTGTTAAAACTTATTTTAAGTCCAGAAGCAAGTTCAAAACAATACAGAATCATTTTTAGCACTGTCAACTGCTCTTTTTTATTTTTACAAAAAATCAAGGTATCGTCTGCATATTGTAGACAGCAGATTTTATGAGGCATATTAATTGGACCTAAACCTTCAATAAGAAGATAATCAACAGCTAAACTCATCATCCTTGTAAAGGAATCAGCTGCCAAAACAAATAAAAGAGGAGATAATGGGTCTCCTTGACGAACCCCTCTCTTTGACATAATCCAACTCCCAATTTTACCATTTATATCAATGACAGACATACCTCCTCTTAAACACATATTAATCCAATTTAGCCACTTGGCTCCAAATTTTTTGGCTTTCATAACCTCCAAGATGAAATCCCAGTCTAACATGTCATATGCCTTAACAAAATCTAATATTAATAAAATCCCTCCTTTTTTGTTATTCTGAAAACAGTCATTAATAATTTCCTGAGCTGCTGACACCCCATCCATCAAAAATCTATTTTTAATGAAACCAGATTGGACAGGATCAATAAGCTTTTCAAGCTTAGAGTTCAGCCTATTAGTCAAGACTTTAGTAATCAATTTGTAAATCACATTTAAAAGACTGATAGGTCTGTAATCATTAACCAAGGAAGCTTCATTTTTCTTTGGAATAAGCACAATATGAGCATAATTGAGCCTATTTATTTCCAATTTACCTTCATAAAACTCCACAAACAACTTCATAATATCACTTTTCACTGTTTCCCAAAAAACTTGATAAAACAAGGCAGAAAAGCCATCTGGGCCAGGAGATTTATCACCATTCATATCACAAATGGCTTTATGAACTTCCTCCTCAGAAAAAGGATTTTCTAATTCATTAGAACCCCAATCTTCCAAAGGAAACAACTTATTCCAGTCCAGCTGACATCTATAAGGTTCATTTTGACCAAAAATCTGATTATAATGATTAGAAAAAATCTCAGCAATGCCTTCTTCAGAACTGACCTCTATATCATTCACTGTAATTAAAGAAATCAGATTATTTCTTTTCCTGCCATTAGCTATTTTATGAAAATAAGCAGTATTATTATCACCTTCCTTGAGCCAATGTGCTTTTGATCTTTGTTTCCACATCTGTTCTTCTTGAATTAAGATCTCATTCAACTGAATGGAAATATCATTTTTTTTGACTAATTCATCATCTTCCAAATTTCTATCTTCCTCTATAATCTCCCATTCCAACAAATTATCCAACAATTCTTTTTTCTTCTTTTTAACAATATAAAAGTCAGACTGAACCCATTGTTTAATACATTTTCTCATAAATCTCAGTTTGCCAACAATATTTTTTGCTGCAGATGCACTTTTAGGTGCACAATTCCACCAAATAGGTACCCTCTTTTTAAAATCATCAGATTGTAACCAAATCTTCTCAAATCTGAATTTTTTGACAAACTGTTGATTATCCCCACAATCAAAACAAATGGGAGCATGATCAGATAACTGACTGCAGAGACCTTGTTGCTTAGAAAATGGAAAATTATCTTCCCATTCAGAGTTAAAGAAAACTCTATCCAATCTAGCCATAGAAGGAGCTCTTCTTTTATTAGTCCAAGTAAATTTCCTACCATGTAAAGGACTATCAATCAGCTCTAAATCATTAATCACCTCCCTAAACTCTTCCATTTCTTTTCTGTAGTTGTTTTTACCTTTTCTTTCAACTGCATTCAAAGTAACATTAAAATCACCCACAACTACCCAAGGTCCTGAAATTCTTGTCTTCACACTCTTAAGTTCTTGCCAAAATAAAACTCTTTCTCTATTACAATGAGGACCATAAACAGAAGAAATAGACCACACAAAGTCATTTCTCTTATTTTTTAGCATGACTGTCAAAACATAATCACCAGAAAAGTCCTGAATTTTTAACCATTTACTGCTATTCCAGCCAATCAAAATACCTCCTGAAGTTCCAATAGAGGGTAAAACAACCCATTCAAACATGTTACTACCCAGACTTTTTAAAATTTTGTCATCAACAACACTCAGTTTAGTTTCTTGAAGACAAATAATCTCAAACTTATTTAAAAGACA